TAAATTACTTTTCAGTTGTCGACGTTGCAGTTTCGTGGATCATCAACAGATTCCGAGATTAAAGCAGATTCACCTAACGTGTCAAGTAGTTCTGAGCCTATGAGCGCACAGATTCTATCATCATAAACTCGTAAGAATCGTGACTAGTGGGAAAGGACTAGTGGGAAAAAAACTCGTCAAAGAAAAAAAAGACAGCGTAGAGTATGTGTGCATCGAAAAAGATAGGAAGCATCTATTGTCCGTACATTTTGTAACATTATTCTGCTACATAAGGGTGATTGTTACGAATTCAAAGTTAAAACGAAAATCAGTTCACATCTCGAAGAGTATCAACACGTATTATATTGATCTCAGAAATTCGTCTCGTCACTTTGAAAAATTTTGCAAGAAGCTGATTCTATATCGTGTTAAGAGTTAATCGTTAATTATATATAGAAATGAATATGTTAGTCGTTGTAGCAAGGGGGCTGGTATTTCGGCCGGCGAGCAGTCGAAGGAGCAGCAGGGTCGATAAATTCGAGGTGATCCTGAGGTGGTCGTGGCGGGCAGGTGCGTAGAATCAGCGTAGCGACTTTGGTACGAGATCGGACAAAGGTCCGCGTCGCGTTGGTACGGAATCGGGGGCTCGGCCGCGTCGAGACTCAGGAGGAAGAGAAGAAGAGAGGAGGAGAAGGAGGAAGAAGAAAGAGACGCGGCAAGGGCCGGCTGGAGAATAATGCAAGCTTGGATCTTGGCTGCTAGACTCAACATCTGTCGGCAGGTGGCTCGTCTCTGGACATGCTCCGTGGCTTGAGCCCTTTGTGCATCCGCGTGCATCGACCTAGCCCAGTTGGCGCGCACGCAATGCACGTGACTCGTCCGAGTGCAGCCGCCTCGACGCCGGCTGCTGCTGTTCCGTTCCTTGCTCCTTGCTCCTTGCTCCTTGCTCCTTGCTGCCGCTGCAACGATCCTCCTGTCGGCTGGTTCTTAACCCCGAGATCCCAAGATAAAAGGCCTCGCAAGCCTCGCAAGCCTCCCTGCTCGTCTACCCGTCTCGCAACCGAGATCCTTTTGCGCGCGCGCTTTTCGTCTTTTCAAACTTCGAACGAGTCGGTGAAAGATCCTACAACATCGTGTTCTCCATCGGGACCAATTGTCTCGGAAGTCAACAACAACGGATACCTGGCTAGATATTTGCCAGATTTCTCTCTCGATTCTGTTTCGTACATACATATTCCAGGAGCTACTGATAGTTAATACCAATAGAAACCACGACTGGCAAGAAAGCCAGAGCCGTAACAAAAGGGACTGGCTCCAGCCAGCCTCGAGAGAGAGAGAGAGAGAGAGAGAGAGA